CCACGCTTGCTTTCTCTTCTGTGTCACCCCTTAGCCTCTTTCAGTTCTCCTATGGCTTTAATTTAGCCTGCTGACCATTGCTATACTGAAATACTAACTTCTCTGTTAAACTTGGCCCTGCCACAAGCATTCAGGAAGCCTTCTAGTTCTTGATTCACTCAGGGTCACAACCCTGAGTTGTGAGTACCTGTGAGTTCCATTCACACTCAGGGTCACTCAGGGTCTCCTTCACTTCACTCAGAGTCACAGTCACAGACTTTACTGTAGTTGCAAGGATGGGGTGTGAGACTTGGAACTCCCAGGCCCTGTTTTGGGGTTTGCTGCCTTGTGGTTTTCAAAGTTGAGTAACATCCTCGAAGTTCCCAGTCACAAGCAGTGAAAGACTTGGTGCAGCATTGCTTTTGCCTGTGTCAGTGTTGTTGCAAAGGCAGATTCATTGAAAGAATATGTTTGAAACATCTTGAGTTCAAATAATTGAACTTTAGCTGGAACTTTTTGGTTTCTCATCTTGAAAGGATGTTCTGTTTCAAAAACTATTCAATCCTTTTAAAATCATTACAGAGCTGAAATAAGAATCAAAACTGGTTTGGATTAAACTTTTTGTTTAACCTCAAACTTTATTATTTTTTCATGCTGCATTGCTTGCTGAACTGTTTGTTTCCTTTTTTCCCTTCCTCAATTTACCAGTGAATCACTTTATGACTGTGTGAGATAACAAGGTTGAGTTCCAGTTTCTATATGACAAAGTGTCTACTACTCCATGAATCTGAACTCTCTTTACCTCAAAAGAACCTCTCTCTAACCATGCATCTAACCATGCAGCCTATGCACTGTGGCATAGGCGTAAGGTAGTAGATGTGGGAGGTTTGCAACTCGGCTGTCCTAGAGATAAGCAGAAAGCTTCGCTGAACAAAGCTACACCAGCATTAACTGCACAGCCCTCAGAGCCACAGTACGGACATATTCTAACTAAGCACAATTATGGAAACTCATGTGTTTGCATACAGCATCCTGTAGAGAATTACAGGGAATTTAGCAGAAGCTTAACGGATGTGACTCAACCAGAAAGGGAACCTCAGTGCTTTCCCTGGGAAATCAAGCAGAGTGGTGAGACTCGAGACTCAGCTCTCCTAGCCAGGGGAAGAGGAGAAGAAGAAAGGCTTATTTAGGAGTGTAGTGAAGATTCTCTGGAAAGTTATTGTATTTCCCTATTTAACAGGGAAGCTGCCTCTCTGCCTCATCCTTGACATCTATGTTTTGCAGGGCCCTTTAGTGATCCAGCTAAAATGCTGTGCTCCTTCTTTGAACTGGCAAAGTCAAAGACAGCTGCCAGCTGGGCAGCACTCTAAATTCATAGCTCTAACACCTCTCTTTGACTATACTACACCTAACGCCTCAGCCAAATTCCTAATAGCTACACTAATCACCTTCTTGAGCCCTAGTTAGTGCAGAACCCCAAAGGGAGGAAGGTGAATCGCAGTGGCAAACTCACTCCTGGAGATTAAAGGCTATGTGCAGCTTCAATCTGCAGTACTAATAACATCGAGGTGTTATGGACTACTTGCTCCATAAGGGTCCCACAATCAATTTTGTTCCTGTGGGGACTAATCCTGGCAGATCAAGTATTATTTGTTGCTCTAAAATTATCCAGATCTTTTTCTCTCTGCAGTTGGAAAGTAGGATATTTGTTAGACATCATTCAGTTGCAGCAGAAGATACTGATGGTTGTAGTCTTTTTAATTATATGCAGACACAATCTTGTGCAGAACAACAGCAAGTCCAGGTTCACTAAACAGGAAAACTCACTTTTTTTTTCTTGGAAGACAATACAGATATATTCTCCACTGTCTCAGAGATGCTACAGTTTACCTACCAGTTTTTTTCCCCAAATAAAAGAGAGAGATCCTTCCCTGACTTCTCAAATGTAAAAGCACATATTGTTCCAGGCTAGCATTGGTTGCTTACAGAAATGCAGGTGAGAGGTGCCTCTCTTGTATGTATTAAAGCAGAAGAGCTAACAACATGTTAAAAAAGACAGAGAAAAGAAATGTTTAAAACTCTACCTTCCATATTCAGATTGCAATAAGGCCAGAAAGCATGTAGGTCAAAAAGACTATGTTGATACAAAAAGAAAAAAGAAAAAAAAGGCAAATTCTTAAATGAGTATGTGAGAGTGAGCACTTGCAAGCAGCATGAAAGTAGAACACAATGAACAGTGAACAGTGAACAATCTTCCCACCCTTCTTTCCTGAGTGATTGATGTTATAATCAGGGATGGTGGAGCTATACAGGAAGAGAAATTACAAGGCCATATTTTTGACTGGTGAAAATGGAAGTGTTCTCATTGATTTCTGTGGAACCACTGCTGTTTAAGCCACTGCAAGGTATATATCTAAGAGAGGTGAGATAATGTGTAAGGATGGCTAAGATAAAAGTAATGAAAACTTATCACAGGCACTTTGTTCCGAGTAAAAAGAGCTCATTGCCTCAGAAAGCCTTCAAGAAGTTATTCTTTCAGTTTTACTTGTGCTTTATAAGTAACAATGGATAATACATATACTTCTCTGTTGTGAATGCCTTTTCAACAAAGACATATTGTCATTAATCACTGTAAAATTCATTATTAGTTTTCATCTCAGGCTTTTTCTCAGTGCAATAAAAAGTTTTGCCTGTGTTTTTACATGCAATTATACCAAAATACAGCTATGCCCTGATTATGTTTTTTAATACATGAGGCACAATGCCTACAGCCTTCCTTGGAGGGCACAGTTTGATTTTTTTCTGTGGAGCACAAGAGGTACTGAATGCAGTGACTGTGTGCTAACATTGCAGAAGGCACACTGCAAAACTGTCCCACAACTGCACAGAGCACTGCAAATTTGGACTATGGGACCTAGTATGTTGCTAGTATTTTTATCTGTGACTGCATGCTTCAGTTGCCTATTGCTACTCTTTTCTGCAATAAGTTTTCTGCAAAAACTTCTGCAAAGTTTTTGTAGTATATCTATGAAGAATATAAATCTGAAACTATCAACATCTCTAAAACTGAGAAGCAGAGAGCCAATGAAAGAAAATTTGATTTGCCCTCATTTAGGCTTTTCTATACTATCTTATTCTATAGATAAGGGGCTTGAAGGATTATTACTTATTTTAGCATCATGCATACATTTTTTCTCAAATTATTCTTTTGTATTTTAAGATTTACTATAACTTTACAATAACCTAATCTTTATTATTATTTTAAAAATGACAAAAGCAGATGAAAACAGATTTTGAAGGTTTTCCAGACCTTATTCTCACCTTATTCCAGTTCTTATTCTCATCTAACAGCATTGTTGAAAAACAGCAGAGAGAGAGGCAGTCCTTCTTTAAGACTACGTCCTTACCCCTTCCAGTAAAGGCCAAAAGCTCAATAGCTCTCTCTGCAACTTCAGCAAAACTTTGGGTAAAATAAGAAATCTGACCAATTGTCAAGGAAAAAATGGTATTCCGACAGCACGAAGAAGCCTATGACTCACATTTTGTTTAAGAAACAGCAGTAGCTTAAATAATAACCTGACCAAATCTGCCCAAAACATGTGGTATAATCCAGATCGCCTGGTATACAAGGTAGTAACACTCCCTGAATTCCCACAGATTTCAACACAGTCTGGATTTAATTTCTGCTGCATAAAATCTTCAGTATTATCTACTCATAGAAAATATTTTCTGCAGTTATTTTTAGCAATATTTGGTCTACTTTTTTATTTTGTTCAGGGGTATGTGCAAAAAGGTTGGACTAGAAAGGCCTACTATAAACTTAAATGTAGAAAATTTATTGGCAAGTAACCTATTTGAATATACGTTGAAAAGATTTTGCAAATTTCTGCTTGTACTTCAAATATACGTGTTAAACCCACAAGTGTTATGCTTTGATTTACACATAAGTACATCAACGATTAAAGAGCAAGACAATTACAATGGAGTTGATGAATTCTTAATCTCAAGAACAGCGCTAAATTAAGGGAAAACACAGTCTCGTTACTGGTTGTTCTTTTGTGATTAAGTATTAGTTATCTGCTATGTTTGACATTCTGTAGACCTATTTATTTGATTAATTTAATTGTCATCTAATTAATTTAATTATTTTGTAGCAAGTGCTGAGAAGCTGGTGCATTCATGGTTGCTCAGCTGATTACCAGCGCCACAGTTTGCTGAACTGGTAAAAAGCCGCCGCCCGGTCCCCGGTGCCCCTTTCGCTTGTCTGGGTTTGACTGATGTGCCCTCTGCTCGCTTCTGTCTCCGCGCCGTTGTTCACAGATTAATGTAGGGGATGGGCTGCGTTTAATTAAGCATGTAGGTAATTTTTTTTTTCAGGGTAGAACTCCTAGTCATTGCACTTTTGATGTGAAGAGTGTACATAAACAACTCCTCGGTTTGCGAAGAAAAAAAGAAAATTACAGGGTGGGAGGAGGGGGCCGGGGGGGGGGGGGGGTGTGGAATGGATGTAGAGGGGAGGCTGCTTTCCCCGAAAGCACAGGGAAAATTTAGGGGAAGAGGGGGAACAGGGAACGGGGTTGGAGGTTTTGTGTGTTATTGCAGTTGTCGTCCGCCAAACAGACGCATGTTCACATGTTCATTTTTGTTGGACGCAACTTTTGAACGAGCAGGCGGCGTTGGGCCAGGCTCTCTCCGTCCCGAGGGGCTTCCCATGCCGCCCGCCCCCTTTCCCCCTCATAACCGCACAGCGCCGCCGGCCCCAGCCCCACGCCGTGCACCGGAGGCTCGGGGAGCTGCGCTGTGCCAGGTGCCGGGCAGGCAGAACCTCCCGGGACCTCCGTGCGGAGCGCGGCCGGCGCGTCCCGCTGTGCTGCTGCCGGAGCGCTGCTCGGCCGCCAGCGGCGGGAGAGACGGCGGAGTCCCGGCGCCTGCGCCCCACCGCGCCGTGCGGAGGGGGCGGGAGGCAGAGCGAGGGGGCGGCCGGGACCCGGCCCCGGGCGAGCCCCCTGCTCGCACTGGCGTGGCGGCGGCAGCGCGGGCGCGCACGGCGGCGGGGGGCGCGGAGCGGGCCGGGGGAGCGCCCGCCCCACGCGGCTGCCCTCGGCCCCGCATAGCACCGCCGGCCGCCAAAACCGCCCTGAAAGAGAAGGAGAACTTGTTCGTCCGTCCTCCGCCTGCCTCCCTGCCGCCCGCGCATCCTCTCCCGCGGCGCATCCGCCCGCCCTCCGGGTGCTGCTCCCTCCCGGGCTCAGGGCTGATCCGCTGGCTCCAGCTGGAACGCTTCGTCGCTCGTTTCCCTCTGAGGGTTTTTTTCGGTAGCGGTATACCGAGGAGAGGCTCCGTCCCTCAGGCACCCTGCCTCACCCTGCGGGGGAAGGGAGCTGGGTGGGGGCAAGCCAGGAAGGGAGGATCTCAGTGGCTCTCCTAAAATCTATCAGCAGGCTGCGAGGAGGGAAGAGTTTGGCACTTCGCAGCCGAGGCTGGGCTTGTTTTCCCTAGCGGTGATGCCGCTGGACTGAGAGCGGTGCGGCCGTGCAAGTTAGGGGGACGGAGCCCCCCCCTTCCACCGCCCCCCAGACCCGGTCCAGCGCCTTCAGCCCCGGCGGCTCGTCCCTGCCGCCCCACTGCATGAGCGCTGCTCCGAGGACAGGGCGGTTCGGCGCCTGCTAGGGCTGCTCTCCGCCGCCCCCCAGACTTCCCCACCACCGACGAGGAGCGGAGCGCACCCCGCACCCGGAGAGTTGACTCGGCAGGCTCCGTGCTATGGCGAGGCTGCGGAGGAGCAAACTAGCTGCTGGATTTCTATTACTTTTCCAGTGCCTGAGCGAGCGCTGCCAGCTCTCCGGCGGGGAGACGCCGAGGCAGAGCCGCGGTAAGCGAAGCCGGTACCTGCCGGGCGGGGCCGGCCCGGGGCAGCGCGGCCGGGCCGGGGTCGGGTCGGCTCGGGGGCCGGGCCGCCTCTTCGGAGCATCCCGTGGTTTGGGCTAAGCTGGCAGCTCCACGGGCCGCGCACCCGGAGAGAGCAAACGCCGTTCGGAGGCTGGCTCCCCCTCTTCCTGAGGGAGGCCCGGGGTCCCGGCTTCTCACTTTTCCCTACCCCGGGCTTCTCCGGAAAGAGCTCTCCATGACTTCAGTTTTTATTTTAATGGGATTCGGGACTTTCCTCCTTTAATGGATCTGCCCCGCGATCACCGGGAGCCGGTGCTGTTCCCTTCCCCAGCCCCTCCGCGGTGTTCCCGGAGCCTCCTTCCCAGCCCTGTGCGAGACGCGAGGGTCTCCGCTTAAGCGCGGGGAAGGGAGGTACGGAGACACCGGCGTCCCCGGGAGCTCTGGGGTGCCCCGACAGCCTCCCCCGTCTCCCTCCCGCGGCGGGCCCCCCCTGCTCTCCCGGCAGCGAGCCGTGCAGGGCAGGCAAAGTTTCCCTGCAGATTCTGCCTGGAAGACCTAGCGGGCACTCTCCTCCCCCGCGGAAGTCAGTAGCTTGCAGCCTTCCCTGGAAACCGGGCGTTGAGAGAAGGAGCAGGATAATGGAAGAAGCCCCCCGGGGTTATGTGACCTGTTCTTTAGGAGTGAGAAGCTCGCTCTGTTGACTAAGTCTGCTTGTGAAGTATTGGGGTCCTCTTGTCAGTCCTTCTCTGAAACACCTGTTAATGTGTGACACACAGCACTTGTAGTGCTTTCTCTTGGGCCACTGTTCCCCTCAGCATGGAGGTCCCTTTTGATCACTAAAGCCTTCTGTATCCTGCATTCCTGTGCTGTAGTGGAGAAAGCTGCTAAAGGAAAGCTTGGCAGATAGCACTTGCAGATAGTGAGAAAAGTAGTGGGGTTTGTGTGTCAGGGGACCTTGCCTGCAGAAGCTTCTTGTTTACAGGTATTTCCAAAAGCTCTACCTGTATATTTGAAACACCAGCCAGATTATTATCAGATGAAGCACGCCCACTGGCTTCCCGGTGCGATAGAACTGCCCCTTCTTCCTTTTCTTAAGGGTTTGATACAGACGTGAAAAGTTTAGTGGTCACAGCGTAACTGACCCGAACAAGAAAGACTGGGTAGTTTTTTTAAATAACCAGTGAGATTATGTGCTAGACAGAGCAGGATTTGCCTAGCTAGGGGCCTACCACTGAGTTTTGGAATTGTTAAATGACAAGGTAGCTCAGCAGGTTGCTGGGGCTCACATGTCACTTGGGGCCAAAGGGAAAAACCAAGAGGAGACTTTTCATGTACTGCTGCAAATGCCGTGTTGCTGCACTTGGGGCTGTAGCCAACAAATCTTGGTATTTGTTAACATTAGTTATAAGGGAAAAAAGTGTGGGGTGAGATTAGAAAAAGAGAATTACTATGTTGTGGACTGAGCTCACAAAGTTTATTATCTTCCAGCCACTGTATCCAGACAATAAGACGTTAGTACTGACTGAGTCAAATAAAATTTATCAATGGACAAATAAACGCTGCACATCACTGACTTAGGCTATTAAGCTGTATTATGTCTGCACCAGGAGGTACTAAATAGAAGGTATACCAATGGATTGCTTATCCATGAATCATTTAGTAGTGTCTTATATCTTCCTGAATGGGCTATAAAGTATGAAGGAGTTTATAATCAGGCAAATACTATTCTGATATTTAATATCAGTCTGAAGAAAATATACCAAGCAATTGTTTTCTTCCACTAGGAAGAAGGGCAACCTGATGTTAGTTTTGACAGCCAGATGTTTATAACTTGGGCATCTTTTCTGTTCCTCTTACTTAAAAAAATCTGTATTATGATAGTAATAATTAAATGTAATTTACAGAGTTAGGGTTTTATTTCCTTTTTTGTTGTTGTTTGTTTGTTTGTAATACTGCTGCTCTTTGGATAAAAAATACAGTGAGAGATTGTGTCTAATCAGTGAGAAGAGGTTAATTATGTAAAACCAGAAATTCAACTTCAGGTCCCATGAGTCAAAATAAAAAGTAATGTTTCAAAGTTTTACTGTATTTAGCACCTACTGTATCCCTTTAGATCCGCTCAGATAAAACCTTTAAAGAATTAAAGAATAAATGTTTGAAGTAGCTGCAAATTCTTAATGGGAAGCTGTTTTTGACATATTCTACGAATACTCAGTAACAAACACCTTATTGAAAATGAATGGAATAACAGTATCAAGAAATGGAAACTTTTGGTAAGCCCGGGCAGAGCTGGAGTCATGGAGGATTTCTGAGGATGCTACCAAAGGGATTTCAACACAGATGAAAAAATAATACAAAGGCCTTTTTTTGCCAGCTCCTCAGAATTACCTTACTGGGTAAAAATCGGGTCGGACCAATTCAAGTGCAATAATTTTCTAGGCATGCTGGCTGTCTCGGGGGGGGTTTAAAACCCAAATTTTTGTGACCGGGGTGCGAGGCTGCATTGGACGGAGCGGTGCCGTCCCCGCCAGAGGGCGCAGCGGCCGCCGCGCGGGCTGCGGCTCCTCTCCAGGAGCCAGCCGTCCGTCCATCTATCCGTCCATCCATCCATCCATCCATCCATCCTCCCCTGGGCCCGGGCAGACCTTCACTTTTGTTGATAAAAATACTATAAATCCAGGATGGAAGTTCTTAGAAACAAGGTTTGTGTGCGTGTGTTGTGTTTTACAGTAGTAAAACTGAATACGACATGAATTTAGTGAGGTGAAGCAGACCCTTGAAAGCTCACACAGTAATTAGGGCTTCCAGTTGTACAATTGAGGGCTCACTGTTGAAGTGTTGCCACAAGAAGTCTTGAAAGTGTTACATTCTTTTGCAAATGTCATCAGTCAGAATTAGGAGGCTGTTATTGTAATTTTTATTCTGTCAAAGCATGTTCCAGAATCCTCATATAATTTATATTCATTGGACTGCTGCTGTCTCCAGGCATCAGCATTCAGATGGGGGTAGAATTATTTTTATTGGATAAACTACTATTAAGGTGTGTTTATCTACCATTTATCTATTGCTGAAATAGTAACATTTTGTATATTACCTGAGCTTTACTCTTTTTAAAAAAAAAAACAATAACTGAAACCAAACTTTCCCCATTACACATTAGGACCTTCGACTTTTATCGTAGCTTTTTATCATAGAAGTATCAAAAGAAATACAGTATTAGACAACATGTATATCAGGTATGTTTTTTCTGTACATGATATGTAAACAGGGACAATTGGGTTAGAAAATCCTAGTGACATTTGAGAGCAAATCCTATTTGCATTATCATATATATTTTAGTAAGGATTCCCTCTAAAAAAGTAATCTTTTTTTTAACTTTCTTACTGGTTCTTCCTTTTTTGTTTTTGTGGTTTTTTGTCATTGTCTTTTCCTCTGAAAGAGTGATTTGAAATTTTGTTGGTAAATAGTGGGTAAATTAAGACTATAATAAGGTCTTTAATTCAGTTTTACAGAAACTCATTTCCACAGATTTAGAGTAAGATCAATACTCATAGTTCATTCAAGGTTTAAAATTCCCTTGGGGAAAACAGTGTTTTTGTTTGGCTGTAAATATTCCTCTTCAGAGTTTACATCCTCATGCAAGCACTTAAAACCCAGGAAATACTTGACTCGGGTGCTAGGTTTTGTCTGACACTTAACTGGGAGTTGATGATAAATAATAGGGGAACTAGCTCTCTACACTGTAAACAAATGGAGTAAATGAGGAAAAGGTCTTTATAATCTGAGAAGTTCTCTGTTTCTGATCAACAATTTACTAGTCATGCATACAGGCCATTTAGAGCAAAATTTTGTGGCAACATCTACTGCCTTGCTGAATACCAGTTTCCTCTAAAAAAATGCAGTTCAGGAGGGCTGTTTCCTTTTGAGGAAGAGAATCCTCAGACCATGAAGGAGGCAGATGAAGAAATTCATAGTGTAAGGTGATGAGAGACCCCTGAGGAAAATAGTCACAGACCTTAACATTTTTCATTAAGGACTTTTTCGCAGATTTTTGGTGGAGCAGTGCTGCAGGTCCCTACACCTGCACAGAGTTCAGGAGATGGAGGTTTGGACCTGAATCTTGTTTCCTGCAGGACTACTGTGCAGCAATGCCTGAAAGGTTGCTTTGCTTTGAATTATGCCAAAGACAACTATCATGCAAGAAACATGCTCTGTTGAATCCTACTGGATTTTTTTCCACAAAGGAGATAAAAATTTCTCATTAAAAGCATAATTTGACCCTGCTTTTTATAAAAGTCACTGTGGTTTCATAGGACTGTCTGAAGTACTGAGCAGTTCTGCTGCTTGTAACCTTGAAAGCACTGGAGCAAAAGAAAACTCTGTAGCAGCCCCGGTTTCAAAACTTATCAAGGCTGCAGTCTCTTAGACTGAGAACACAGCTAGGGTCACTGGTATTTTGAATTCCCAGTGTGGTTCATGCTTCTTAAGAAAATTGAATACTAAAGGAATTTAAGGCAGCAGTGGTTAAGGTAAGCCTCTACTGGGGGCGCTCTACAGAGGGAAAAAAAGGTAATTTGATGGGAGCATTTATGATGCTGCAAGCTTGCCAGCCGTGTGGAATTATATCCAACTGTTAGGTTTGATGAGAGTTGAACTGGGAGTATTAAGGCACTGCAATTGGCAGATGCCATACTTCCTAAATTGGAGAATTGCATAATCACAGCAGGAACTGGAAGAACCTATGAGTTTTCTTTCTATGGAGAAGTATGCAGAGAGGTCATACTTAAGTGTATGTGGGGTTTGTTTTTGTTTGTGGCTTCTCACAAATGAGCATAAAACATTGCCCTGAAGTAATGTTTGTGAGTGCCGGGTGCTGTGTCTCATCATGGAACACTTCCTCCGCTTTCTCCTCTTTTCTTTTTTTTCATCCAACCAATAAACATAGCTTCAGTTAGCACTCCTTGCTGTCAACATTGAGCAATC